CTCCTCCTTCCAAAGAGCTATAGTGTAAACACTTGAAGGTTTCCTTGCCTCAAGTACCACACCACGTTGAAGGATATTACTTTTGATCAAACTTATTGATTAAAAGGGGGTAGGTCAACTCTCTTACAAGTTGATCTTGCAAGTCCTATTGTTCGGACGTTGCAGTTGTTGAAGAAGCGTGACCTTCGAAGGAACAACAAAGCCAGCACGAGTGCAGAAGCAACATTGGTCTTGCGAAGATATACCGTGCAGAAATTCACACAAGTGTAATTGTTGGTTCATTATTCAACAACCAACTACATAGTGGATTTTGAGGACGTAGAAGGATTACCCCACCTTCGAACCTCGTTAAAGTTTGCGTGTCTCTCTCTTTTATCTTCACTCTTACTTGCAATTACATTAACTATGAAAACTAACCCATCCATATTGATTACTGCTCACTCTACCCACCAAATTCCGCACTTAATCTAAAGTTCACAAGAACTCTAGATTAACACTTATCTTCACGTTTTCAAAAGAAACGAAAAAGTTTTTAAATTTGTAACAAAGTCTATTCACCCCCCCCTCTAGACTTTGTATCTCACCACTTTGGGACCACCACAATGGGTTGGAAACGGCGTTGAATAATGTGGCTAACATGATGGCCAACATTATGGAACGGTTGGATAAAGCTCTCCCTGGCCCATCCAGTACCCGGGACGTCCCTGCCGGGCAACCCTGCTAGGTCCTGCGTACTGCGAGTTCTCCCATCCTCCAGGAGCTTCATGATCCGGAGGAGGTCGAGAGGGAGAGACAGGCCGTCGCTAGACGCCGGACGGAGGAGTTGGCCCGGAATAGTAAGGTGAATGGAGACTGGGCCAGGGCTGCAAGCCAAGTCATTGGCAATGGAAACGAAAACCCGCGGGGAACTATCTTTGAAAGGATATCTCGCCAGAAAGCTCACGTTAGTGAGAGGCAAGGGAAGAATCCGGACAAAGCACCCAGGGTTGGATACGACCCCAGGCCAGCCAGGTGGCGTCTTCTAACCGCGAACCCCGGCAGTGAATCGGCCGCGGTGGGAGCCAAGCGCCGGTGCGGTCATTGGTGGTTCTGGATGAGGACAAACTCCAGAGCCAAGTCAGGGTCCCAGCACCATAGCGTCTGGGGCTGCCGGTACCGGAAGCGGGCGAATTCCAGGATCTGAGGTAGTAGATCCAGGAGATGCAGAGGAAGATAAACAGGGGACGAGTATTCACTACCCGGACGAATACCCCCTTAGCCCCGGAGATCTTTGCGGAACCATACCCGCAGGGATTCAAGATGTCGTTCGTTAAGCGTTATGATGGGGAGTCG